TCGAGGGCGAGTATCTTTCGAGTTAAGGACGACGCGGCTCACGCGATTGGCCCGCACCTACGGCTACCCCCGTGCCGGATACACTCTGCCACGAGTCATCGATCGCGCCTCCACCCTATGAGAAATCGCGACATCCATCCCCCACGGTAAGCCATTTGCTCCGCCCCGCCCCCTGCCCCTCCAACAACGACACCCCTTCTGGCAACTTGCAGCTTAGCCATCCTCTCTGCTCCCCTCCAACGCGTTCGCCACCCTTCTATCTTCGTTCGTGTTTCATCCCTCTCGTTTCAACCATCCCTTCGGCCCGTTCGTCTGTCCTTCGGTAGTCGTCTATCTACCCGACGCGCAACACTACCACCCCGTGAGTCTCGGAGCGTGACTCCACGTTCTATCCTTCTTTACCCTCCTCCGTCTCCATCTTCTCCTCCTCTTTCTCTTTCTCCACCCTGCCTATGCTTCTTCTCTCTCTCTCTCTCTCTCTCTCTCTCTCTCTCACTCTCACTCTCTCTCTCTCCTTCTTCGTCGCTGTTTCTCGCTCGCACTCTCCGTCTCCGCTTCGCTTTCCCTACATCGCTCCGCGCGCTCCGGCTGCGTGCGCGAATGTTCGAGTAAGGCCCTCGTTCGTGTGACCTGTGGTTTCTCCGGCGTTTTCCTACCCTTAGTGCGAGCACAGTGCCCATCCGCAGTCCATCATTCGCCACGATACGCATTCGCGATTCTCGGCTACTTTCACCTCGTTGCTCGTGCTCACGGCTGACGATTTCCGCGAGTGGATGTCACCGTGTTGTTCCTACCGATTCTGCCAAACGTTCACCCTGTTGTGCGATTCACCGTGCATCTTCGTGCAAGAGTACTTGACCATGGTTCGTAAATCGTGTAACGATGATCCGATCCGATCCAGTGGTAAATATTAAAAGAAACAAAGGAATGCGATCCATCGATCTTGCGTGGGGAAAAAAAAACAAGCGGAACACCGGCGAACGAGTGATTAACGATCAGTGGAAGAGAAAGTGACTCGAGGAAGTGACTCCGTGTTGCTCTTCGCGGTTTTACACGTACGGCAACGTCTCGCGAATAAACTAGCGGGTCGAAGAGGGGAAGAGAAGATCGGTTTGGGGTGAGGAAGAGAGGAGAAACGGCTACGTGTCAGGTTGGTAGGCGGTGGTGGGAGGAGGTGCTACCACAAGCGCACAATTACACACACACATACACACTCATACAAATACATTCGCCTGTATATACGCACAGTGTAACGCACACTGTGACGCGCGAATAAAGTCGGAAGGTGGTGGTGGTGGTGGACAGAGGTGGTTGAAGGACGAGAGGGGCGAAAGAGGGTGGCTCTGGAAAGGGTGGGCCTTCCAAGTGTCTTGTCTCCTATCATCCTGTCGTCCAGGGTATCGCTTACGAATGTCGCGCGATCGAGCGATCCGTCTCCGATCCAGCACGACCAGGGACGTTCTGCCATCGAAGGCGTTGCGACGAACCCGCTAGTCTACACCGTACAGTTTACCATTATCATCGTGTTACGCTCTCCGCTTGATATGCGACGCGAGCCGCGATTCGAACCGCTCCGCGTGTCGGATAGACCGTGTTCTGCCGTCGGACCGTCGGCGGAGGAGCATCCGATGCTCTTCTGACGGGACGAACGCGTACAACGAGCCGTGTTCAGTGGAACGGGTGACTGTTTGCTCGAATCGTGTGCCATTCCAGGGGAAACAGAACTCGAGACTGACGCGTTCCGTTTGGGGAACCGTGAACGTCGCTGGAACGGACTCTTTGGACGCGAGTCAACGATGTCTGGTGAAACGGAGATCGAGGTATCCGTAGTGTCCGAAGAGGATTTGGAACTGGAAGCTTCGAGGAGCAGCTCGACACCGGCGGAGTTGCTTCTACAAGAGAAAAACGGAAAATCTGGTTGTGGATTGAACAATCACCATTCCTTCAGTTTCGACGTAGGCAAGCCGGCACTCAGGCCCGCGTGTAACCCTCAGTACACGTCCTTCAGCATCTCTAGCATCCTTGGAAGACCCGAGTCACCACCTATAGACTCTACATCGACGGTGTCCGCTGAAAGGCAATCGTCGGATGTCGACAGAGGCTCGCCATTGCCAACGACGAACGCTCAGAATTCCCAAAGAATCGGATCCTCCTGCGACAGTCCTGCAAGGGGTTTGTCCTCGCCTACGTCCTTGAGATTTTCCAACAATCAAAGGGGCGTCTCGTCGGTCGGTCACACGACAGACAACAGAAACAATGCTACTAACATGGGGATCGTATGTGCTACCAGTGCTACCAGCCCGGCGTCCACTTTCTCTCCACCCAGCGACGCCTCTACGAACCCTCTGCTCGGTCACCAAGCGTCGGCCGACTTGGCGATGCTGTCGAGGTATGTTTTCCTCTCTATCGATCTATTTCTTTTTTCACAGTATATGTCAATGTATTCAATGAAACTTCATGCCGTTGAACGCTGAACGTTGAATATTGTGCGGTTTCAGCGTGGTTAGTTTCGTAGTTTTCAGTGTACCAATTTTTCGTGGTCCACCGAACTGAACGGTCCCGTGGTTTGATGGATGCTTTGCGTTTCATCGTGTTGTTTGTGCGGTTGAGTTTTGCAATCGTGAAACGATTATCAAACAATAGCTTCAGCTGTGTTTGACAGTACCGCGTATTATAATAGGTCAATGAAAAGAATTTGAGTTTAGTAAAAGTTTTCGTGTACGCAAGGTGTTACAAAATCCATTTAATCTCTCTGCAATCATTCGTCCCGTGATATTTTATCGTACGAAATGGACCAAGCGACCTTTTATTCTACCTAAATAATGCTATATCTGACTATTGATTTCTAAATTGCAAGGATCGTAAATGCAGCCGTCATCGTCGAAATGTAAACAGCCTCGAAACGCGCAACAATCGACTATTTACCAATAGTTCTGCCTCGCATCTCGTCCAAGAATAATTTAACACGTTCGTCGAACGAATGGCGGGTACGCGACGGTAGCATCTATTCGTTGCGCCGATGTCGAATATAGTTTATACCAGTGGAACTATCATTTCGTGTTAATACGTCAACGCCATTAAATGCTGTTAGGTATCAATGTTTACTAATAAGGAATTAGTGCGCGTCATCAATTTTATATCTGCGGCGACTGCCAGCGCGATAACTATTTCATCGACGATCGCGCGTCGCCGCATACGATTAACGTCGATTGGCCACAATCAACGCAATCGATACGTGTATGCCAACTTTTTTCTCCAATAACGCTATTTACTTTTAAAATCCTGCTTTTCGATTATCTTATCGAAAGAGTGTCGATATTATTCTCGTCTCTCCCTTATTTTCCCCAGATTTCACGGAGGGGAACGTCAACAACCGATCAAACGTGAAACGCGAAAGAAATTCGGAAGAAAGATCTTGATCAATTCAACTTTTTTTTTTCGAGGCATTGTGTATAGTGCTATTATCCCTGTTCGTGACGCAATAAGTGGAAACGAAATTATTCGAATAACTTTCCCAAAGTGGCGTCGAAACCATCCGCAATGCTGTTCTCTGGTTTACCTTATTTTCTCAAAATTCATCGAGGGAAAAAGCCAGCTACCGTTTTGCACGTGAAAGGCAAGACAGACCCGTTAAAAAGATCTCGGTCAACTGCATTCTTCTACTGTTCGAGGATGTTCAACAGAGGACCATTATCTCTATTTAGGATGCCACAATTCAAAATACAGTTCTTCGAATAATAACACCATTAAAAATGATCTGAAACATCCAACCGAGAACCGAATATCCGAGCATCCGTGATCCAAAATCAGAAGACGATATTGGACGATGCGCAAGAATCAAACGAAAGATTTTCAGCCACAAATGAAATTTTCTTTCAGAGTGAATGCTCTTTTGGTGAACATACACAGGTCGTATGAATGGTATATATATGTGGACTTTGGTCGAAGGACAGAGTGGTTGGAGGTGGTAAGGGAGTGATAAAGTAGCGGAAAGAGAAACGCGTGGCTGCAGCTTCGGATTATATTATGTGGGAATGGACCGAGGGGTCCGTAATGGGCCTATTAGGCTGTCTCATTTAATAACAACCGTAGCAACAACCACCCTCTTACATTACTTACGTTACTTAGGGCCGTCCGGCTCTGTATCGGATATATCTCGGCAAGGAACTCGAGCCGGGCCAA